TATTTCCCTACTTTTATGTTTAAGGAGCCTTTTATTTAAACTTTATTCTTTATTTTAATTTGTTTCTCTTTTTATTCTAATTTGTTCCCTTTTTTTTCTTAACTTTTTTTCTTTTTCAGAATGTGGGTCTCTCAGCCGACATCAGCAGCAGCGGGCAGCGGCCAGCAACAGCAGCAGCAGCTGGAACCAGCAGCATCAGCGGGCGGCGAGCGGCAGCAGTAAAACAATCGAATCGTTCGTAATTCATATCATTAGCATAATATACTATGAATTTTCCACTTTATATATTGAATCGAAATTGCGCGAAAGAGGAAAAAAAGTACAAGCCTATGAATAGACATTTCCATCCTTTACTAAAAAAAAAAAGAAATTAATAATATCTCTTAATTTTATTTCTGTTTCTTCGGGCAAGTCTACATATATGACCAATATGATTAATTGATTCCATCTTTATATATTTATCATTATGTGCTATTAATTAAAGCCGTAGACAATATTCAGAAATCAAAGTTGCGCGCTGGAATGGCCATGCGCAGAAACGAATGCGCACTGATTCGGCCGCCATGTTGGCGCGTGACCGCTCGTTACTGCAACGTCACTGCTACGTCAAACGCGTCATACGGCCACCATGTTGACGCGTGAATCGGAGTTATACGCAGTTACACGGATCGTCGTACGTCCGCATTTTTCGCATCTTTTAACCGTTTTTAAACGAATATCGCGAATGAACGAGCGTCGAGAGTGTCCAAGGATGATCGCGCGACTTTCATAGTGTGTCGATGGAAACGCGCGACAGCGATTTTTGACGATATTCAGTGATGGCGTCATCGCGAAGATGGAGCGAAGTTGCGTCGCGTTATTCGCGCCCTTGATGATGATTATCGGATGCGAGCGAGTATCGGGAGTGCCGCATAAAGTGTCGCGCGTTCGCGTTGATGATATCGTGTGAATTTGTGTGCATCAAGATCGGAATGGGACGTCCCGAGGCGAGCGAACTGTTCCGAGGAGGAACAGCCGTTTGAGTAGATTTGATTTATCATATTTGCGTGACAATTCGTGCTCATCTGACGCTTATACAGCATCGCGATGTCCCGAATTACATTCGGACAAATCGGCGCCGCATCATAATTCGATTCGGTGCAATTCAAATAAGTCGATCGCGTGAAGATGATTATGCTAGAAGCGATTTGAATTTTGTATACGCGCGCGCAGTGCTGCATAGCCTATCTCGTAGGGTTGCCAACAGTTAAACGATAAATTTGTTTGATCTAACCTAACCTAACCTCTCATTGTCTTTGGATATCGAATGTAAACACAAGCGTATGCTGCCTGGATTGTATCATGCTTTAAAAAATAATATTTAATTATTTCCTTAATGTATTACATTTTAGTACGTAATATATTAATCGTATTAAATGTGCGACGTACAGTTTTACACATTTTAATGAGTAGCATATAATATAATTGGTTAGGTTAGATTAAATTAAAACAAGCTGCTGTGATTCATTTAACGTAATAGGATTAATTTGAGGAATGTGCAGCTATTGAAGTTACATGATATTTGTGGACACATTTTTAAAGTAATCATGAGTGTTTTATCACATCTCGATTACATTGAAATTAAAATATAAAATATTTATGTATTCCACATTAACGTTATTCATTACAAGTACTATATTACTACATTACAAGTACTTTTCTTATATCTCAATCATATTCAACCATTTATTTCATCGATGAAGCTTTTCATATATCGCAGACAATATGATACTGCGTGTGGAATTTTACACAGGTAATACATGGCACAAAAATAATTTGCTCTCAAGTATTGTGTGCATTTCTCAAAAATAAATCAAATTAAATTATTTTCAGAATCCAAACATCGCTACATTGCCAGGATTGTATCTTATTATAACTGCGATATTATCACCTTTTAATATGTGTGCGCAGTATTACATACATAAAATATATAAATTTATTTGAAATGTACAGAAATCTTTATCTTATTTATAATATTTATGATATAAAAGAAAATTGCAACTCTAATGAAACAGAGCAGTGGAATAATTGGTTGATACTTATGCTGGTCTACAATATTTATCCTTTTTTCATCAGAGAGATTTAGATTTTTGGTTTTTTATACAGATGTTATCTGTAAATATAGTACTTGTGATGTCGCTTCTGTATCACTGTAAGCACACAAAAATGACAGCATTAGCAAGTAATTATGTTATACTTATATATCATAAGAAAGAGAAAATAAAATTAAAGTTGAATACTGAATGTGCTCTAAAGTAAATATCATCTAAATAAATAAATGCATAAGTGCACCCCATATTCCTCATGAAAAAAGTACATAATATTAATTTTTATGTATTATTATTTTTAGATTTTTATTCTTTTAAATTCTCTAGATGCACTTTTCATTTCTCCTCTCTTTCTTTTCAACTACTAAATATAGATCTATCATTTTTAATATATATCTGTCATTTTTAGTGTACATTATTGCAGTAAGTGGAATAAAGAGCAAATCTTTTAGCACATTTAAAATGTACAGGAAAGTTTTATCTGATGCGTTTTTTTCAATAGAAATATCTGAAAAAAATGCATACGTCTTTTTTAATCTTAGTCTTTCTAAATAAAAATTAGAATAATAAATTTGCAAAATAATTTGCTTTAATATATTTTTATTGCAAACATATGAAGCAAAGTGCTCAAGGTGCATCACTATGAAAACATCGATAGAATAAAAAATAGATCGCATACAAAAAAATTAAAATATTTACATTACATATTTGATATTTCTGCAAATATTTCCATTATTTTGAGATTGATTTGTTTCATGATATATTGCAATAATTAAAGTATGATTTCTGATATAATCTGCTATGAGACTGCAGAGAAAGCCTTAATTCTTTATTTTGTTCAATATTTTTAATAATATAATAATTAAATTAAAGTTCTATGAAAATATGCTTGAAATACTAAATAAAAAAGATTGTTTCTTATGTACAACCTTATACAGTTTAAGTAAACAAAAAATTATTGTTAATAATATACATATATAAATTGATAATTAAATAAAACAATTAATTAATTAATCGACACAATCCGCGTTTTTTTTTAGCTTTATGTCTAACATATATATATATATATATATATATATATATATATATATATATATATATATGTATATGTATATATATTCTTATAAATAAAAAATTCTTTCTAATATAAATTAAATAAAAAGTATAATATGCCTTTAAATACTTTATATACATACCTATTGCAATAAACCAATAAAGAATGCTTTTACATCCTCCTTGTACTTTGGCATACATATCCTTTATGCCAATTATCTCGCAACACGCTTTTATCGCATGATGACAAACAAGCCCATTATCCTTCATGAATTTTCTTTGCAAATATTTTTATATTCTCAAACTGTGTAAAGAAATCATGTAACACTGAAAAATACAAAGTGATATTAAAAGAGAAGAAATAAATTTTATATTATATAGTATTGACAATTATTTTCTTACCAGTGTATTCCTTATATGTAGGAATATACATTAGTCTTTGACCAGCCCTATTTTTAATCGTCTTTAAGGATGCTTTGGCTTTTGATAACGCAAATCCAGCTAATCCATTTCCATTTCCAGTTACTATAAATGAACTGATTCTAGTCTTACGTGCTAAATTACCAGTCATACAAGTTATCATTTTGTTTTCCAAAATCCAGGTTTCAAAACTTTCAAATGTATCTGCAGAAAACAAAGATATTAATAATAAGATTTATATAAAGATATAAGATCTTTTATATAAGATTTATATAAGATTCTAATATTTAGAACTGAAACATCAAAAAAAAAATTGAAAATAGACATCGTATCACATGATTTTTGTATGTGTGTGATTTAACCATTATAATCCAATAATAGCATAAATATTAACCTTTTCCAATAAGATCTGATTCAATGCTTCTGCCATCCATTGTAACACTCGTCCAACCACATTCCAATGGCGATAATTTTATTTGCATTCATCTGACTTTGTGGTAATTCCATAAGTTTTTGCTTTCTTTCAAGATTTACAAGCAGTTTTTGCTGTTGAATTAATTCTTTTCCTCTAAACACAGGAGTGTTTAGACCAGGAAATTGTATCGGAATTTTTCCCATGCCAATAATTTCCTTATTTAGGAGCTCTCTCTTTTTACTACTCTTCTTGCTCTACCACTGCGTCTTCCTGCATTACTGATACTTGTCACACCCTTTCATAATTCATCTTCAGGTCCTACAGAACAAAAGCACAGTGAAATACAAATTATTTTCTACTGTAAATATAAATTATTATCAAAATGCTATATCCATAAAAGTTCTACTTACTATTCGCAAAAAATATAGTTTCTCACATTATTTAATAAAGTGACTATTTTTAATAAATGTGAATGACTGACAAGCAATAAATTAAACAATATTAAACAATAATATACCTGAAAAAAATTTCATAATTTTATTAGAGTTAAATTGATAAATTAATTTTAAATACACATCATATGTTAATTACATATAATGATTTAGAGACAATGATATATTTCATTTGCGTTATCATTGTTTACAGATTGAACATTTTTTATCAAATTATTTATAACTCTAAATATGTAGCATACGACAAGCCATTTTTAAAATCTATAAAACAAACAACAAAGTTGTTCATAGTTTTCACTCTTTTTTGTCATAGTTTGCTTTTAGGCAATCTTAAAGTCACTAGATTAACAAAGTACCGCAATTTTGATCTCAATAAGATAAGCTGGAGCAAAAATGGCGTCCGATAGTATAGATATAGGCTGCGATTGTTACATTTCTCCACGCAACAACCTGGCATTTTTGATATTTTCTTCTTTTTCTGCGCAACAGAAGGAGTTTTCTCATCTCACATACAACAGGACACAGGACAAACCAGGATCAAGGTTAGAAAAATTGCACTTAGTATAGATAGCTACACAAAGTGTGCACTATCTGCACTATCGGACGCCATTTTAGCTCCATCTTATCTTATTGTGACTCCTAGTGACTTTACGCACAGCTGTTAGATTTTTAGATTTCCTGTTGGTTCGCTCTGCTTTTCCTAAATAGAGGTTAAGGTCTTATTGAAAGCAGCAAGCATTTGGATTTCACTTGGAATATTATTATATTTTATACAATATATTTGTTGAGCAACTATGGCGTATGTATTTTTTATAGTTTTTTACCATTTTAATAATTAAAGTAAAAAAATCAAATGTATCCAGAAGAATATGTATTAGTCTTGATGAAGTACCATATGTTTTGTCAATTTGACATTTCCTATTTATATACATAGAATGCAATGCAACATGCTGATACAAAATGTTATATGTTCCAGATCAAACAAAGTTACTTTCAGAATAACTCTCACATCTGATCCAAAGTTGCCATACAAAGTGTAAGTGGCCATTTAGGATAAATTGCATCTTAATTACAATAAAATGCAAGCTGTCGGCTCTGAAGTTTTTAAGACTATCGACGTGTTTCTCACGTTGCTGCAAAGTCCAATCATTAGTGAACAAATGACCGCGGAAAATATGATACAAGCTTTCAATTGTGCCTATTTCATTGAACTGACAATTGAAAAAATACAAACTGAAAAGAAAAAATTATTGTTTGAAGAATATTTTCGTTGCAAATCAGAACGAAAATTATTTCCACAAAATCAGAACATCACATGCTCCGATTTGGAGAAAGCTTGTGATAAATTATTAGAACGTTACTTGAAAGATAGTTACATTCCCACTGAGCTAGTAGATGAATATCTAAAATTATATAGTCAACACTTTGGTTGTGACAGATTAAATGCTTTTCTGAATCAAACAATAAGTAAATCCCTTGCAACAAATATGGTTATAGAGTCTTTAGAAGAATTAGGGGTACCACTCTCTAATATGGAAGATGAAGCATTAATTATGACATGGCAAGTGGCAATAGCTAATAATGATCAAAGTGAAGTAACAAAATGTATAAACAAGATGCTAAATGATGGCCATGTATCAAGACTAGTACATTTAACAATAGAATCACATGATGAGATAATTAAAAAATTAATTATACAAATTTTTAGTTCAAAGCTAATTCACTATGATCCTGAAATTTGTATAGCTTTTGCAAATACTGAGAAAAAATTACTTTTAAAATTACTTCAAGACAATAGCTTTTGCATAGATTTTGTAGATGCGATATTCTATTTTGGTAGAAATATGTGCTTGGTAGATGGAAAGTGGTGTTCAGATTTTAAATTTGAATATAAACATCTCTGCAAAATAATGAAAATTTTATTAAGTGGTCCTCGTGTAATTTGTGAACTTGTATACAATAGAATGAATGCTGTTAAAATGCAACCAGATAATGAGATATGGAATAATATTGAAATAGATATCTTGAGTTGACATTTAGATTTAACATATAACTTGTAATAACAAATTATTTTTGTATAATAAAATTTGTATAACAAAAAGAAATAAAATACTTCTATTGCAAATAAATCTGTCTTATTAACAGAATAAGGTTTTATCACATTCTTTTATATTAAGAAATATTATATAAAAATATTACATAAGAAAAATATATTTACTTTTATATATATACATATTTCTGCATTATTCTCTATATAATTTTCTAATACACAGTATCTTTAAAAATAAGAAAGACATTATTATTTCATTAATTGCAGACTTAGTGTACCAGAAGTTACTCCATTTAGTGCTGTAGTACAATTTGCTGCTGAGGAATTTAGAGTACCAGCAGCTACATCAGCCATAATTACAGATGATGGTATAGGAATCAATCCTCAACAAACTGCAGGTAATTTTTTTTTCTAATATATAATAGCTCTCTATTTTAAATATACAATAATCAATTATATGCTTTTAGGAAATGTATTTCTTAAACATGGCATGGAACTCAGATTGATTCCTAGAGATCGTGTTGGATATATTAAATAATTCATACATATATTTATTTTGATTATTTTTGCATATAGCACAAGAAATAAAAGAAAATAAATATAAATTAATACTGCTTAATTATAAATTATATATATCATGCGATTATAAAAAGTTACATTTATTCACAATAAAACATTCCATGTATGTTTTCTGAATTTGATTGATGTAAAAATAATTCTGCTTCTTAAAAGCTTCTTATGATTCTAATATAAGAAATTTTTATTAATTAAATAAAAAATTATCTCAAAATTTTTTTATTCTATAATTCTATGAAATAGAGTTCGATTAGACGGAGGACATTGGAAATGGATGTTATAATTAAATATGATTAGAGTTTTTTTGATAAAAAGATTTTATAGCTGAAATACATGAATGGTATAAGATTGATATAAAGGTATATTACTATATGTGTGATATAAAATTATTTAGACAGCGATCATTTACAGAGCAGAAGATCAAGTTGCGAAAAACTTTCAGCGTTTCGTATATTCTTATCAGATCTTCATCTCGTAAACCTTATGCTGTAAAGGATTGTGCTTAATTATTCTGGTCACATAAACAAATTTAAAAAACTGCAAAACGGTTCAAAATTTGAATTGTAATTGTGAAATATTTAATATACGCGTGTAAACAGTTGAATAAAAAAGATACATTAAAGTATTAATACTGTTGTATTCCTATTTTTCTTCATTCATTCATTAATATATAGATCAAAAGTGTGGACAATATAGATGGCAGCAATAAGTTTTAATAAAATTTTTATCTAATTTTTCATCTTTGACACAGGTTTAAAAAATTTGTTAAAATACTTTCGAATGTTTTTTGAAACATCTTACAGGCCTAAAATATGCAACATACAACAAAATATCATTGATAATGAATTTTTGGCACTATATTAATCTTCAAGTATATTCATGTGCCAATATGTGTAATTTTAGTGAAAAAGTTTCGTCGCAGTAAAAAATCTTTTTACAAAGAAAAATATTTGGATTTATAAATTTTTAATTATTATAAAACTTGCTTTTTAATTAATAATTAATGAAACAATATTATCACTTTTTGTAATGATTAATCTGTAACATATGAGAAAAAGAAAACATTTTCTGACCTAAATATTCATGTAGGAGAAAAAAAAGAATCGATTATTAATTGTGATATTCTCACTGATAAGCATAGAGGAAACCAGTCATTTTCTTCAAAGTAATATCATAATTTGAATTTTGCAGAGTGCTTGATGTAATACATCAATCGAGACGTACTACACTTCGCAATACAATTAAGTTATTGGCTTACGACTTAATATCTATTACGCGTCGCATCTATCAGTTATCTTGTATAATGATCTTTTCTCCTATGTGCGTATAAGGATATGAAATATCGTAAAAAACTTCTGTTTCATAATTCTGTGAAGACAGTGTCTCGCTTGCTCTATTATCACATATATACGATGATAGATTATAATATGACATATACATTGAGACCATTATTGACATTTGGTATTACAGAAATGAAGATAAATCTGGCACTGGTGCAGCATTATATAAAAAAATAAGGAATGTTGATTTCATTGAGAGAAATAATTACATTTAGAGACCTAATATTGGTATAATACTAGCTTTATCCTTCTATTAGTAATAGATTGGATGTTATGTCTATCTTTGCAAATGGCACACATCTTGAATTCTCTTCCCCATTTATACAAAAAATCCTTCATTTTAATACACCTTTGATTTCTAGCAAGTAATTAAATCGTCAATAATTGTCTCTGATACAGCTGATACTCGTTCACACTTGGTACTGGAAAGCGTAATGAATATACTAGCATATTTGCTCTAACAATAAAGAGAATTATTCATCTACTAAACTTCCAAACTGATATTCATTAAATGGATAGAAGCTATTGTCAAATCGTATTATATAAGTTTTCCTCAATTCTCTTGACATATAAGCATATATTCTATATCTATATATATATATATAATCTCTATAGTGATAATAATACTATAGAATTATTTGTGTAGCTAAAAATGTATGAGAGAGAAATTAGCAGTTGAAGAAAAATGATTCGAGACTAGAGCTATAATCACGCATTTGGTTTTATAAGAACAGTATTTTCATATCAATGCTGCACTGTATATCAAATACTACATTGTTAAAGATGAATCACTTGTGTCGTCGTTCGCTTCATTTCACTTTTTTACTTTTTTTACTTTAAATTAATATTTATAACAAGGCCTGGATTCTTATTTCTCTATATGTTGAAAAATGCGTTTACAAAAATCTTAAGCTAGATTTACCAAAAAATGAGTATTATTTGTTGTAAATTGATATAAAACACTGTACTTATCGCTTAGAAGATACCTCCTCAAGAAAACAAATTGTTGGAAGTATATCTCTCAGATATAATTCTCGCACCTCTTTCTACTTATACACAGTAATACTGCGATGTTCTTGCGCCATTTTCAATATATAATTTTAACTTATAAATAATTTACGGCTCTCCAACATGTTCAAATTTTTGTTTTATCAATGTCTATCCATAGGTCCTCAATTTTCACTCGTCCTATAATGATAAATTCTAATATTATCATTTCACATAAATTTTTCATAAATAAACTTTATATATATAAATTTTCTTTCAATTTCAAAACTTGATGTTTCATGTTATCATTTTTATTAAAGTGCAAATATATAACTTTATTTCTAAAAAAAAAATCATTTTTCATGCAAAAATAAAAAATATATTAAATAAAAATTAATGAATGTACATACAATGTGTTAGAATATATAGTATAGTAACTATTAAAAAATAATGAAAATAATTAAATTATTAATAAATAAATAGAAATCTTTAAAAATCAAAATATGTGTAATATGACAAATAAGATATCTACCCATTCATGTTCTTCAACACCTTCCATGTGATCTTGTTCCAATGAACATTGAATAACATCTCCCACAAAATGGCTCATAGTTTTCTGAATCTGGCATATATATCACATAATATTATATACAATGAAAATAAAAATGCTTTACATAATAAGAATGGTAATGATGAAAAGTTTTTCAAAATAGTTCTAAAACAATTTTTTCAAATAATCTACTACATTATATTTTATCATTCACTAGTAAAATAAAGGATATTAATATATTTATATATTTATAATTAATATATAACAAATTTGTTACTTTACAACACTATATATATCATTAGAAAGTTATATACATTTATATATATTTATATAGTATATACATTTATTATCGATTTCAAATGCATTGTATATAATTTTATTTCTCAATGAAATCTGATTTATTAATATGTTTTGTTTTGTGATAAATGATTTTAATAATGATATTTATTTACTGAAGACTTATTTACGAAAAATGCATACATTCTATTTTTCTTACCTCTTCTTGTTTCGCTTTAACATTTGGATTCCATCCTAGTCTACTGAAGGGTTGCGCAGATATGCCAAAAGGGGTCGAGGATGGTTTATTTGCGACTTGAGGAGGAGTAACTGCACTTTGCGATTGATTTTCAGTTACTATGAATAAAAATTCAAGTGTATCAGATAATCGGGAACATATTGTTTCGTGAACATACATTGTTTTTTATTCTCAATATATTTGTTACTTACAATTATCCATACCAGGTGGTTTGAGACTTATTCTAGATGGCTGCTTATTACCACCATTAAACCATTCTGCTGCAGATAAAGTCGGCTTCCAGATAACTTTAGTCGGAGGAAAAAGATCATCTTGGAATAACTCGCTCTAATTTAAAAACAAAAAAACAAAAAAAAACAAAAAAAAACAAATATATTAATCCACTTCTATATTAAAAATTCCACATTTATTTTTTTTAATCATGTACCTTTATGCGCGGCACGGTAAAACTCAAAGGCTCTATTGTATTATTTGTTAGCCTCAAAGCAGAGGCGAATTCTACGATGGCCACATCACATTTATTTTTTGGAAGGAATGATAATCCTTGATGTAAGCTACTGCATCTGTGATGACTTAATGGACAACAATATGGAGGTTCTTCGGTTACTTCAAATGCATATATTGTAGAATCACCCTAAAAATAATATATCAATATTGCGTTAAATTTTTTTCTCATTAAGATATGCTTGATTGTAGAAAAAAATCTCTTACACGTCCGGTTAGGAAAAGCGTGGAACTATCCTCGTCGTAATATGGCATTAGTATGGCAGGCGAAACATCTAATCCAACAGTATTCAAAGGAATATTTAGATTATCCACTTTAAATACATAAATTTGTCTTTCAGAAACTCTGAAATATATAGAATATAATTATCTCTTTTTGTATCTTTTTTTTCTTTTTATTATATTACAAACATTTGTTATTTGTATTATGCTTACTTGTCAAAACCCATTACAACAAGATATTTGCCTTCAAGCGCCCATATAACTCTAGCACCTCTCGTACCGACTGGACCT